ATTTTGTATTTCTGTGGAGACTCAGTTCTGTTCCCTGTTTGCGTCAAGCATCAGAAGGGAATAAACTGTGGTCTGAAGGCTGTTTATCTGCCATCTCAGTTTTCTGCACAAGCTTCTAGAAGTGCTCAACTCCCAAGGTACCACTCCTCCTCCCTGCAGCTCCCCTGGACTTTGAAGAGAAAGTAGGGCTCCCTCCATGTGGATTCAAGTTACAAGAAGGAAAGGATTTGATGCTGTTTCCTTTTTTTTTTTTTTTTTTTTTTTTAACAGTTTCATTAACTATTGTTTCCCCCACCCAGGCACTATAAACAAACATTAGGCTAAGATGAATAGTGCCTTCTACTCCCTAGCAACTGCCATTTACCTTTCCATTTCAATTTCTTATTCTTTAAAAATAAATACATTGCTAAGCTTTTTAGTTTCAATTTCAGTGACAACTTGTACTGCAACATAGCACCCTTTTAGAGTTGTGTTTATAAGCACAACTCCCAAATGCTGATAGGGATCCTCTGGAACATTTTGGGCAATGATGCAGAAGGCACTTAAAATCCTCTACGTGTAGGACACCAAGATTCTTTTGTGTGATTAGATTCAGTGCGGATTTCTGTAGAACTGGCTTCATTTTATAGATTTGGGAAGAATAACTACTTAGAATCATAACATTAATTTTAGCTTTAGTTAAGGTCTGTTTAATGTGAAGTGCCCACTTTATGGTGGCAGACAAATTACCAATGGGGCAACTAGAGAATGCATGAATGATAATGTACAGACAAGCTTTTTATTATTTATTCATAGAAAACAGTAGGTTTTGGTGTGCTGCTTTGAAAAATGTTCAAACTAGTAGAATATAATGAAAGCACAGTGAAAATTCTATTTCATTAACATTTAATCATAAATCGCTCTTTAATATAAAACAAAATAAAAGTCTGTCATAAGCACTTAGGTGTAGAGGATGGAGAAAGTCTGCAAAAAGGGGAAAGGAAATATTGCAGTGGTTTTCACTGTTTCTCTTATCTGTCACTTCAGAAGAAAAACAATAAGCAAAGAAACAAGAGTCTTCAGTGGAATCTCACAATGGTCATGAAGAAACTGCTTAGACATTTCTCGAAACCTTACATTTTGCTGGCTAAAAGTATTACCAACATCTATAGACAAGGAAACAATTATTTTAGCAAAATCACAACAGCTCAGAAGCAGCAATCTTCATCAGAACGCCGCTACCCACGAAAAAGATAATCAGAACTTCAAGCTGCCAGAGCAAATTCAAAAATCTTTTCCGTGAAATATCTATTGCCATGTTTATCATATAATAAGTATTCTCAAATTCCCCTTAGAGATATACAAGAGTGGTGCACAAATAACAAGCTCTTATACACTATAGATTTTCAATGCTTATAGAACGTTAGATCTTTATAAAATACTATAGATTATGTCTCTTTTCAAGACCTCTTGTCAGAGAGGTCTTATCCATCACTCTATAAATACAAATGCAATATTACACCACCAATACTGATTTGAGTGACATCATACTGTCAATTAGCAAAACGCATGTGTAGACACAGAGGATGCAAGCCACTATGGTTTTTTAGGTTTAGACAACCTCCACACCTCTGACAAAGAACAGAGCCATTCTCCTTATTGAAGACCATCTACCAGTAACTGCTATCTGTAAGACTCTGCCTTTCTGACAACATATCTTCTGCTTCCTTTAACAGTTTGTTCTTTACCTCACAAATGGCAGCCACCACCTGAGCAGAAGAGCCTGTACCTGTGGCCCCTTGCACAGTTCCTTGTCAGTGGCCAGAAAAGTGTGTTTGACTCCTGTCAACGGCAGTCCTGCCACACTGAAAAATTGTTCGAGAAACAGTAGAAAATAAGCATCAACTACACTATTGTCACTTCTTTCTCCCAGCCATCATTGAAAATTCTGACAAGTCAGCCAAGCAACCAAAACTCTTTATACTTTTTCCATAAAGCAAACAAAATACCCCAAACAAAATAAATCTAAAAGCACCTTCTCATCTGCTTTGCTTATATCACAGGGGCTGCTCAAACAGCCAGCTCTGCAGCCTGCTCAGGAAATGAGCGTTTAGGCAACACAGTTTTTCCCAGAGGCGAGATTTTTTTAAAGGAAAATAAAGCCCTTGGAGAATGCTTCCTTTAAGCAGCCTTCTCTGTTTTACACTGATGTGGATCCAGCGTAACGCCTCTGTTGATCACAGCTGAGTTAGGAAGGCTTAAGAGATGCAATCCTCCAAGCAGGCAGGTTCCAAGCTCTTTTTCCCCCGCCCCAGTCAAGCTCTTGGCTACCAGGTAACCTTACCAGGCACTCTTCCGCTGACTTTTCTGCTGAACAGTATGACTGTGCATGGTAAGTAACTTACATGGTGGGCATGAAATGATAAATTAGAAGTAATTGCTGAAACTGTCATTCATGAATTGTGGGCCATTATCTCTTAATGCATCTGGAATCCCAGAGTGAGCAACTTGTGATTCACAAAGCAGTACTACGTTGCTGTGCCTCCCATTGTACAATAGCTCAGCAATCAGTGAGTAGTGGTCTATGAACCAAATGCAATACTTCTCATTTAATCAGAACAGATGCATGCCGCCTTCACTTCACACCCCTTCTTGGTGTTGGTCCCTTTCTTGCTTACTGTTTTTCACTGATTATTGAATGTTATTTTTAGATATCCACTTTAAAAAATGGTTTCTATTCCTGTCTGGGCAGGTTGCTTCACCTTTGTACAGTTCTACTTAATCAAGACAATTAGCGTAAACTACCCCTGGCATTTTTGATCTGTAGCTATCCTTAGCATTTCCTCTCTTCCACATCCTCTGAACAGATACAATCAAGCACAGTAACTTTAGAAACTAAGTCTCTATGCTTAGAGAATGTGAGCTATTTCTGTTGACCCTTAATTTCCAGAAACTGCTTCAAACACTTTTAAAGAAGAATCATCCTGTTTCTTGTTGAAGCATATTTATAAAAACCAAGCTGTTAAATAAATTTGTGATTGAGTTACACAAGCTTTAAGATTCCCTATTTTTTCTTTCAGTCTTTATTAGAACTCCTAAATCACATGTGTTCTCAGTTAAGTCTCATCACAGTTCTGAGTTTGAATTTATGATCATTCAGAGAACTTATTTCATATGCTTACTGCTCAATTCATGTTACTTGTCCTTGTTATCCGGTGCAGCCAAAAAAACTCTCAACTCCGCTAGTTTGCATAGCAACATCTTGTAACATCTTGTAACATCTTTCCAAAGTAATATGCCATTATATATATAGGTGAAAGTACTCTTGAAATTTTGCAATAAGGTTGTCTTGCAATCTACCATCATCTTTAGACTTATTACACTGCAGTACAGATTGCTGATATTCCATCACTATAGGTTACTTTATTGCTAGATCTGTTGCCGTGCTATTTGGCTTCCAACTAATATCTTCCAGTTTTTGGACCTTTCAGGATTCAAGTACTTCTGCTTGTCCACTTTTGGTAGAGATGTAATTTAATTTTGACAAGATAAGAATGTGATACACAGGTTCATTGGCAACTCTTTGTGGTCCTCATTAATAAGGAGATTCATATGCATTTAACTCAGAGCACATGAGCAATTCAATAGCCTTCAGGGACACATAGGTGTATATTTTCCACATGGACCACAGCCAGGTTACACAGGTACTGATGCTGGTGGCTACTGTCATGCTTGTCATACTCATTTTCCTATTATACTTTAACGGGATTTTTTTATCATATAAGTAACAAACTTCACTAGTACTTTAGTAAGTTACAGTACATGCCAATTTTGAAATGTACAATTATAGTTTGATATGAGACTGATTGACTGCTCTACATAGCACAGGCAATGACAGATACTCTTAACCTTGATCAGGGTGCTCCTTTACAGATTTCACTTTCATTTGCCTACATTTTAACCACGCTTTCCATTTCAAAGTCTGGTTTAGGCTGGCAACATTCAGAAAGTTCCAGCTGAACGCAGAGTTAAACTGGATGCTAGAATCAGCAACAATGCCCCTTGGGAATGAACTGCAAATCCCATTGATATTCCCTTTGTGCATTCTGAATGCCTGACAACAACAAATACTTACAAGTATGTAAGAATTAGGCTTTGAGTGTTTTGGTTTCCAAGAATAGTGGTCAGTTCTGACAAGTTTTAGTCTTAATATAGCAATTTCCCACCATAATGTGGAAGAAAAAAAATAATTAATATTAGCATTTGTGAAAAAAACCAACAAACCCAAACCCAGGTACTACAGAGGTAAGTATCACAGTAAATCTTATATTGTAATTAGTATCTTTACATTCAGTGAAAGATTTCTAACATGTGCCATGAAAAATAAGGCCTTGTGTTACAATATGAACAATGAGTACGAAATGAAATATTGAACAGCTGCTCATCCCATGCATACCCTCCACCCAGTGTAACAAATGACAGAAGAGTCACAGAAAGAACAGTTTGCAATTGTGCAATTAATACCCTCCCTGTAAAGCATATGCAAAATGGCTCGAGCAGCCTTAATTTTATTTCTTAACTTCTGACTGCTTAGCCCTTGTATGTTTTTTAATTTTTAGAATTTTTTATGCCCGTAATTAGTAGTAGATACTACACAGGGAGAACCTCCTGCATCATCCAGGCAAAGGGCATGTGACAAAAGGACTATATAGTATTCTCAGAGCTCATTTGTATGGGGCTGGAATTTCTCACAGTCTGGGCTGCCATTTTTCCCACTTTATGTTCACAAACTCCCTTCTCGTTATGCAGTAGCGTATGTTTGTAGTAGTGAGGGACAGATGCTCAATCTCAACAAAGATCAATGTGGCTCCAGGGAGCACTGTAGCATCTTTTCTGTGATATTAGACTTCACTATCCTGAGGCTGTTCCTATGTGGCAGCTTATCAGGTTGCCAGTCTGTCTTTAAGATAGGTCTCTTTATCTTATTTTTTAAAATAAGAACGTATATTTAAAAGACATACCTGTCCAATAATAAGGGGGACTACAACGGTCATAAACAGCTGCGAGAATATAGACGTAAAAGGCACAGAGGAGGATGATCCAAGCTACAAAATAAAAATATACCATTAATATTGCACTTTTTCTTAGTATCTGCAAATTTCATACACAGATACCACACACTAGTATCCATTTTATTTTACACAAAAAAAACTTGGAAGTATGTACACGTTTCATTGTTAAGTCCCAATAAAGCATTTGGTATTCCACAATAATAATGGTTGATTATTTTACAACCTTAAGTTGTAACCTAATAGTATCATCAATATTAATATAATTGAAAACCTGCTACACATATATGCCAAGTAAATTATGTAAGCATTTGTAGGATGATAGTCTAAAAAGACAGAAAGTAAATCTTCCTAACTAAAAAGTTAGCTCAACTAACCTTACCATTTATACAAATAAGCAACAAAAATAGGCGCAGTTATTCCAATAAATAAATAAAAAATATACAATAGTCAAGACATTCACATGTTTTATTTCAATGATGGTAAAAAAAGAGATCTACTGAAAGTATATAACTATTCTTTCATTAAGGCAACTGAACTGTGACAGGCTTAGTCTTCACATAGGCGATCTCTTTAATTACAATTGTAAATGGTAAAAGTATTTTTTAAAGATGCAGGTAAAAAAGGTGAACAAAGTCAGTGGGATTTTTGCAAACTACTTCAGAATGCTGAGGAAAATATGCAGTATTTTTTACATTCTGATTAGATTTGTTTTATGCTATGTAATTGAAAAGTTTTATCTAATGTCATTTAGCATATCTTTTACAGTAATAGACTACACATTAAGAAATACAGAGTAAGAAGACTGAAATAGCATTGTCAGAGCTTCCACAGCAACATGATGAGGGTAAATGACAGAACATTGAGGATTTCACAGATCCACATTATTTTGTATTTTGCATTTTACTTTAAAGATCCTCAAAACGACAACAGAATTCAGAATCTTTTCAGTTCCATTCAAGTGACACCAATTTCCTAAAACAGTCTCATATACACCATTCCCATAAATTACGCTCAGATTGCATTGTACTTTTGACACTTATCTTCCTTTCAAAGCTACCTGCAGGCATGATAGACAAGGTGATCATACAATCTAGTCACTTCCTATGTCTGCCTAGAAAAATCAACATATGGCCATAAAAATGGGTTGGGCATAAAACCAGATTCTTCAAAAATTCAACAAACAGAAAAATCAGAAATTTCACATACTGAAGTATTTTACTTTATTCAGAAATGTGCAACTGCAACCTTTACCTACAGAAAATAATCTGATGGAAGAAACATCAATTACAGTACTTTTGCATGGGTTTTATTTGTAAATGCCATTTGTACATGCACTGATGGGGACAATGGTGAACGCGCCTGTGGGGCTGAGCTTTTGGTGCACACAAATGGCATAAGAACTGGGAAGCACCATGAAATGGAATTAACTTCTGACACTAGGAAATCACTTTTTGAGTGTTGCTTAGCCAGCTTAGAGCTTAAGAGAGTGGGACCAGACTAAACCTACTCTTTCTTTAAACTTACTCCACCACTTGCTTTCGTATGTCCCTTTCTGAATACACTCTCACTAGAGGACCTTGGGCAGAATATATGGAAAATGGATGTTTCCTATGCATTACCTTAACTGGCAACATCGGGTAAGAGTCAAGTTTGGTCATTTAATAAATCACAGCATCTCATCCTCATCACCTCCAGTTTTAACAATGTGGGCATAGAAGATGGTTGGAAGGGACCCGAAGATGATGACATCAGTGACACTTTTGTTCTCCAAGTATGGTGCAAGTGAGAGCACCCAGATTAATGAACTTAAATTTCCCATGGAGTCAAGAGGGAGAAGTACAAGTTTGCAGGGAAAGATTCAGATCACCCACACGAGTACCTGAAGTCAGGCAATACAGCTACTCCATTCCCAAGGGACACGGGGCTCTCTGCATGACTCCTTGCAGAAAGTGGAGCAGAAAACTCCATCATACCACTCATGATCTCCTTGTTGTTTTAATTCTTGTAAGGAGCTTCTGAAATTTTAAAAGGTTCATAGTTTTTCAAACTGTATTTGGACTTATTTTTTGCTATGTTCTGAGGAGCTAAAAGCATTACTTACTATGTATTCAAGGAAGCTTTTTCAAGTGAAAGTGAAGATTTTTAAACTTTAAAATCTGCCTGGGTCACAGAGCAGTGAATTTAACCAAGCAGTCTGCATAACAGGACCCTCTGCATAGCTTCACAAAACTATGACACTTTGGCAGTGGCTCTTGTGCATTTTTATAAAAACATTGATTGGACTTCTCTCACTGCTTTAAAGTTTTATGCTCAGTGGATGCATAATCAGTTTCTAAGTCAGGAATGAAAAGCTGTTTAAGAACATAACACACTGCTGAAAAAGGCAGCCATTCAAACAGCAATAGTCTTGCCAGCTGTTTTAGATATTACTTCAAGTTGTGGTGGATTCTTAAGCACTTGGTATATCTAAGGATATATTTTGGTTTGGGTGTGGGTTTTTCTTTGGTTGGTTTCTGGGGTTTTGTTTGTTTGTTTTGGGTTTTTACATAATTAGAAACTGAATTACAGGTACTGTGCTAAGATGCTAAATCAATTTACCTAGGAAAAGTAAAATTATTTTATTCAAAGAAACAATCTTCTATATCAGGGTATGGTTCTTTACCTTGTCAACTTCACCCCACCCATTCAGGCTCATCTCACTGTCATCTGAACCATCAAAAGGCAGATATTTCAGGTAACCATCTCACTCTGACTACATTTTAAATGAAACAGAAATCCAAATCATTCCAAAATGAATAAATAAATGAATGATTCATTAACCCTCCTTTTGCCCAGAGGAAGTGAGTTCTTCAACTACATCTACTTTGGGGGGAGGGGGAGAAGTGCCTCCTTCTTAAAAAGCCCTCTCATTCTTGCAGAAAAGGTCAAGTTTTTCTGCTTCTAATATGACTCCTCTCCTGCACGATCCTATGACCACACTATTTTTGATCCTGTTTCAGTTGCATAGTTGAGAATCATATTCTTCTGCCAGTCTCCAGACCCTTTATTACTTTCTACAGAGTATCATGGAGCTAGCTTTTTTCTTTGGTCCTTAAAGAGGTCCTAACACTCTGCTACATTGCACCTGGGCACAGCAGTTCAGAGCAGTCTGTTTGCTGGGTTCTGCCCTCCCTTCACGTACTGCTGTGGTACTAGACTTCCCTGTCCCACCCATGGTACTGACATTACTCCCTCAGACAGACTTCTGAGCTTTGTTTCCCTTCTGTGTATTATGACAATAACCTAAGTGGACTGGTTATTATCAGAATCTATCTGTTAGACCATTTCTAGAAACTCCTGTATTACCTTAATCTTAAATCTATTCCGACAGAGAGATACAGAAGATAAGATAAAGGCTGAAGAAAAGAGAAGGCAGGAACTTCTCAATCACACAAAAGAAAAAGGTGCTTTAACCCAGACTCTGGACATACACTGGGTAACTATGAAGAATCACAAATGCTAGAGGACCCACAGCTAATGTATGCATAACTTGACTGGGACTGCCTCAACTTTTGTAGTATGCAGACTCATCAGGCTCACAAATGTGTCTCAGACTCTCCAACATTGCCTGGGTTCCAGACTTCCTTTAAACTTGGATAAGTTTATCGCATCCATTTTGACAGAGGAGTCAGAATGAGGATCAGAGGAAACAAAAAGCTTGAAATAATGTTAATCAAACCTTCCTACACATTTACAAATGCAAATATTCTGTCTGAATTAATAAATATGATTTTGCTCAAGTTTTAGTTGGATCAAGCTAAGATCTGTGCTCCATTTGCTGTCATGAAACACTTTTTTTTTAAAAAAAACCACCTAGATGATCTGCATTGCACCAAAATTAGCATTATGCTAAAATGTCTGATCATATTTGGCTGCCCTCTTTGTTATAATAACCTCCATGGCTAAAAATGAACCCTTCTTCACAGGCAAACAAACAGAAGCACTGTAAGAACTCATGTAAAAACATCATAGAATCAAACTGCTGATTTAGAGCTATAAAAATATTGTCTGATTCAAATCCTGTATGGAAGATAAAATGCACCATTTAATGAAAAAGCTATCACAAATTTTCATGCCAGCCTATTGCCTATGCTTATTTTAAAACATTTTATAAACAAAAGTTTGATATTGTAAAGTGATCATTATGTGCTGTTGTGGATAGCAGTATTTCAGTTGAAGGTTTATTAATAAGCCAGGCCTGCTTGAATAGACTCACTATTCAAAAAAGAGACCCTGGAAATTCTTGCTTAGGGAAAGGCATTTTTCCCTTAAAATAATCTGAGCGATTTCAGAAGGAAAATTCAGATGAGCAGGAACTGCACCTTCTGCAGGTGTTTGCTGGATATAGATGTAATGAAAGAGAATTCCAGGCAAAGCTTTTCAAACAATTCTGTCACCATGCAGTACTACAAACCTGGACTGTAGCATTCTTGCTAATTTAGTCCTAGACCTTTCTTCTCAAGAGACTGCCTGTTTTAAAAAACTCCTGGCAAATCATTTAGTGGCTTTCTTCATGAGCCTGTGGGAGAAACATCAGCTTACCCTTAATTGATAGGATATATATAACTGGTTGTGGTAAAAACAGAAAGCAAAAACCAACCAAAAGTAAGAAATATTCCTTGCATAAAAACAAGACAATTCCACTTCCAAGCCTAGACTGCCTCCACAAGCCAGATGCTCTACCCTCATCTTTCTGGATGACTGGGCAGTTACCACTACAGGTGTTCCCATTTCTATGACTGCCACTGACTCAGAAGAAACATGCCTCCTACCAGTCACACCAAATTATAACCCAGTGCCACGTGTGCTGCACATATTGAGTCCACTTTAGAGGCAGCTGTCCTTTGAGGCCTTACTCTTCCAGTGTTCTGCAATTAACATGTTTCCTCGGGTTGTGTCTTTGTGTTCTTCATACCCCATCAGCCAGCTTCAGCCTTGTCTTTGTTGAGCACAGACAAGGAAGCGAAGCAGGGGTGAAAGCAGGGCAGAAAAGAGCG